GGGGGGAGGCGAAGTGCTGCAAAAATTTCTCGGCTATTTACCAAGTTTTATTAATTTTAATTTAATTAAAGGAAAATATTTGAAAATCTAAAATCCCTTTGTGGTATTCTTTCCTTTTTGTTATACTTTGCAGCAATACTCTAAAAACTGTATTTCCATTTTGTTAATTTATCCCTTTTGCGGAACTCTCGAGGCGGCTACTTTTTGAGGTCTTCGGCCAAACCATACCCCAACAGGGGGGGAGCCAAAGCATTGCTGGGACTTCACGAGAATTCCTAAGCTAAATTTTTAATTTCTTTTTTATATATATATATATATATTAAAAGCGATTAGAAAAATTAATTAAAAATACACGTGAAATTTAAATTTTCAGCGGGCTTCCTCTTTTTGATTTTAGTTCTAGGAAGGAAGTGTTTGCCTAGGGACAATAGTCCCGAACCCGATCCCAACGGGGGGAGGCGAAACGCCGCCGAAATTTTTTCTATAAAATCACAAAATTTTATTTCTACCCTAAAAAAGCATCAAACTCTGTGGGCTTATAAATGTGTTTATGCACGATGTATGAAAAATAAGAGAGGGATTTTATCCTAGCTAGGTACAATTTTTTTTAATTTATAATTGAAAAATACAAAGAATTGCCTAAAGAAGGAGAGAAAGGGGCGTTGCCATTGAGAAGACAACGTAACTTGTCCCCGAAGGAGTGAGGCAAAGGCCGTCAGTTGGATGTGGCCGCAGGTGCAATAAGAGGTCTATGGGGCCACGATTGATTGGGACTTGGAGCCCCCTGAACGCATAGAAGGAGATCTAGTCGAGCTCACGATCCCTGGACGCGGAATTAGACACTTTGACGGTCAGTTTGCGTGGAGGTCCATAATCTTGTCGGAGGGCTCGTGGCTGTGGACGTACAGAGAGCACCGGCCGGCGCAAGGGGTAGGTGTAGTGAGAGCCTACTTGTATTTAGGACCGGATGCGATCAGGGATACTATAGTGGGTCTCCTGATGACAGGGACTAGTGACACGGTTAGCAGCGCGCTACACTACCTAGAGGAGGAGGTAGCTGCCTTCCGAGCGGAGGACTCGAGCGACCCGTTGACCCTATTTCACGGGCGTCCTCCTCTTGATATCTCGGGCGAGTTGGTGGTAGCACGCGACGGGTTTTTCCCATACAGCGTTAGAAGCCTGAGAGCGATAGTTCCGGCATTCGTGGTGGAGAGCGTCTTTGGAGGAATTGGTGGAGTAGTAGAGACATACCTGGCCTATCAGGATCTCAAGATCCTTGCGAGGAGCACTACTGATCTAAGCTACATCTATTATTCACTTGCTACCGGAGGACCTCGTTGGGGAGATGAGAGGGTTCAACTTATAGAGCTGATCCGCTCGATAGACTACGAGTGGCCCCAGTCTCCATCTGTTTGGGATTGGCTAGACCGTGAGCTCCGAGCAGGACCCGAGTACGTGACCTGCATCGGGCGGCTTTTCTCAGACGACTGGGAGAGCTGGTGGGGTGAGAACACCGAGCGACCTCTGATATACGGCCACCAGTTGGCCCAATACTACCAAGGTATAGGACAGGCCCCATACAGCGTCGGGGACGAGTTTGACGACGAAGGATGGGAGCGAGAGGACGACGAGGACGCCTGGGGGCCGGACTGGGTTGACCCGGAAAACGAGATTGACGAGGAGGAGATTGACGTTACAGATGCTCATTTCCCTGGGATAGGAGTAACAGTCCTGGCGTAGGCAACAGAGGAGCACATTAGGACGGCGGTAGAGAGAGCGTTAGCTACTGATATCCTAGAGTAGTGGAGAGTATGGCAGACCGGGATATATTGAGGGTGACTCTTTCCCTACGACAAGATAGGACAGGAGGTTGGGAGGATGAAGCGCTATGAAATGTTGAGCGACAGGTCAGACTCATGACAGAGCATGCCCTGAAGATACGGAGGAGCCAGAGGTACGTAGAGTTCACTGTCTACTACCATGGAGCCGACGAGAGAGTGCACAGCACCTACTCAGCCATACTGGATCTGAGTGGGAGAGTTGTCTGAAGAGTCAGCAGCATCGAGAGATAGGGTGCGTCGGAGGGATTAGATCACTACAGATCGAAAGCAGGAGAGGAGATGAGAAGTGACTCGGTAGCCTGGTTAGCCTATGTTCTCTCACGAGAGTCCGAATCATATAATGTGAGAAAGCTCGTGGGACCTAGAGAGACGGCGATTGGATATGACATACCCCTTCCTGTGGCTTTGGAAGGGACGGAGCGAGTGCCGATACGACACTTGGGGACGTGGCTCGCAGAGGGGCTGTTCCTCTGGACGGTGATACTACGAGACGAACGACC